TTTTATGATATTTTTATATATTTTCCAGAATGGGATCATGCGAAAATCTGCACTCCCAATCAATTTGACGGTGGAAATCATGGTTTCCTTCTAAGTTTCTCCCAACAGAACCAACCCATTGATCATCAGTAAATCAATGTTTGGTGGTAAAAACAATTTTCGGATTTCACCCCATAGATTCATAGATCCTTCATAAATCTACTTGGAATGAAACAATTTGAAGAGTTGTGACATGGTTTGCTTTACCTTGGTCCCACTTGAGCCAGCAGGTTTGGACTGGCATTGTTTTTTTTACAAAGGGCACAGCTGTCCTGGTGACCTGATGTGTAGTGCTTGTCCAGTTGTTCCCTCCGTTACTGGCAGCTGCTGTGGTGGTGCTCTTGTTTTGCATTCGCGCTTTGGGCCACAGCTCAACCCAAGTTGGGCATTGGTTGCGCCCCTGGTTCTTTTTTTCCCCCTGTGACAGTAAGCAGTGTATTACCACATCATATGCCTTGATGGGTTTTGGACGTTTCGCATCAACTGCGATTTTTGCAGGACCACCACTTCGGCCCTCCTTGCAGACCGTGAATCTTCCGGTGCGTGTTGGGAGATACGCCGGGTGTCACGCGGGGAAGGTGTCACCCGGAAGCTAGTCACCTAACATGAATAGAACCTAACATTTAAGTCTACGCCGTTTTTCTGTTTTCACATAGACCCAATTTCCCTCATGATACTCCAATCCGTCCAGGAAGTGATGAGCTTGGCCTGAGCCTCAGCACGTGGAGGTTTAGGGAGATTTTCCGGCATGTTGGATGACTCCGCAAGGTATATAGTTGCCCTGTTTTTTGTCCTAAAGGGTTTTCAAGAAGGTGGACTAGAGTCTACCTCGTGGACAAATGTTATATACAGAATCAAAAAATAGAACAGGCATTTGCTCCGACATTGTATTTGTTTTATCTCCACTGAGCACTGGCCACATCGTTGCCGTATGCAACCCGAAAAGAACCAGGACCAATAGGATCAATATGTAGCTTGAGGGTTGCATGTTTGCTTCTGCAGAAGTGTGCTGTAACATCCCCGTTCAAGCAGCACTTTCTTTTGTCAATGACATGCATTGGCATGTTGAAGGTAAGGGAATTTTAAGGCAAGGGGGATGCCATCAATTGAGGGTCCGTGAAATGTACCCCATATTCTTGGCTAACGCCAGATTCCCCATGATTCACCCACTTTAGGGGTGTAATACCTCGAAACTTGGGAACATCAACTGATTAACCATCATTGATGTCCTAAAAACACAGGATTTCAATGCAAAAATCATGTTTTCAACATGTTTCAACCCTTGGGTTCTCAAAATCTCCAAACTCGAGGCCTCTGCCAGCTCTCCATGTACCACTTCCATTGTGCTTGGTTGGTTCTTGGCGATGTTCGCGGGAGTTTGTTTGGGAGCCCGGCGGTCAGCTGGCTGGTGGAAATCTTCGTATTTTTGTCAGTTTTGATGGGAAGATAACAAGACGAGCATCTATCTATCTACCTGCCTACCTACCTATCTATCTATCCTGTCCTGTCCTGTCCTATCTATCCTATCTATCCTATCTATCGAATCGATCTAACCGATTACTGTAATCGATCTATTCTATCCATTTTTTCTATTCTATTCTAGCCTATTCTATTTAATTCCTGTTTCTATTCATTCTATTCTAATTCTATTCTATTGTAATTCTTGTTCTATTCTATTCTATTATATCCCTAATTCTATTCCATTCTATTCTACTCTACTCTATTCTACTCTATTCTATATTATTCTATTCTATTTGGTTCTATTCTATGATTGTTTTTTATCTACAAATCTATCTATCCATCTACCTATCTATCTATCTATCTATCTATCCATCTATCTATCTATCCATCCACCCATCCATCTATCTATCGATCTATCGATCTATCGATCTATCGATCTATCGATCGATCGATCTATCTATCTATCTATCTATCTATCTATCTATCTATCTATTTATCCATCTATCTATCGATCTATCGATCGATCTATCTATCTATCGATCAATGTATCTATCTATCTACCTATCTATCTATCTATTTACCTATCTACCTATCTACCTATCTATCTAGCTATCTATTGATCGATCGATCTATCTATCTATCTAGCTATCTATCTATCTATCTACAGGTCTATTTATTTACAGGATCGATATTTATTTACTTATCGATCGATCGATCGATCTATCTATCTATCTATCTATCTATCTAATCTATCTATCTATCTACCTATCTACCTTTCTATCTATCTATCTATCGATCTATCTATCTATCTATCTACCTATGTATCTATCTATCTATCTATCTATTTATCTATTTATCTATCTTATCTATCTTATCTATCTTATCTATCTTATCTATCTTATCTATCTTATCTATCTTATCTATCTTATCTATCTTATCTATCTTATCTATCTCATCTATCTGTCTATCTATCTATCTATCTACCTATCTATCTATCTATCTATCTATCTATCTATCTGACAATCTTACTATCTGACTAGACTATCTGACTATCTGTTGTGTGTCTGTTTGTCTATCTATCATCGACATTATCTACAGATGTGCTGTTCTCTTTTCCCAATGGCAAGAATGGCACGTGTGATGATTGGAGGGCACTGATTAATGCTGCTTATATTTTGAGCTAGACATTGTGAACCAACTAAGCCGTATCTCAAACCAAGCTCAAGTCAAACTGTCTCTTGGCTAGTTGCCTAGTAGCCAGGGTTAAAATTGATTTGCATGATGTTTGAAGCATTGTGGACCTTCCTATGTACCAAGACATGGGGTTGCTGGAACTGGCAGGAACATGCTCAAGTCATGGACGGTCTAGATGCAAAGCAGTCACCGATTTGCCATGAGGGGACTTCCTTCCACTCCTTATACCTGACCTCCTTCAAAGTTGACCGACTGTAGCAACCCATAGCAACCCCTAGATAGGACAGTTGAAAACTTGTAAATTCAGTGGGCAACTATCATGTCCACAGAAAATTGTCAATACTTCTGGGGAGCCCTGTAATTCGAACCTGGGAAGTGGGAATTGTGGTTATGTGTACACACACACATATATATACATCCATCCATCCATCCATACATACATACATTCATTCATTCATGCATACATACGTACGTACGTACGTACGTACATACATACATACATACATCATGCATGCATGCATGCATGCACGCATGCATGCATGCATACATCCATACATCCATACATCCATACATCCATACATCCATACATCCATACATCCATACATCCATACATCCATACATCCATACATCCATCCATACATCCATACATCCATACATCCATACATCCATACATCCATATATCCATACATCCATACATCCATACATCCATACATCCATACATCCATACATCCATACATCCATACATCCATACATCCATCCATACATACATACATACACTTATACACATATACACATAACATCAATTTACTGATTGTTTGCCAGCATCGCAGGAATGTTAGATTTCTTTTGTTTTGATGGGATTACGTTTGGTTTTCTTAATAGCCCCTCAACCTGCAACATATTTATTTGAGAGCACTCATTGTCGAAGTGTTTACATCAATGGATATGATGGGGTTTTCCTGATGTTTTGGTGATCAGTTCGCTCCGGGACTCAGAAGTGTCCAACATGCGAAAGTTAAACAAATCTTCCTGGCGCGGTTTGTGGGCACCTTTTTTCTGAGCGCGAAGCAACAAAATTTATTGAAGACCTAAGGTGACGGTCACAGTTGCAGCCAGAGGTGCAAGGCAAACAGTTTCATTTGTTTCAACTCAAGTGAGGCTACTTGCGAGGTAGGATTGCTGGGAAGATATAATGCACATCAATCAATTTCTCCCGTTTTTGCTGGAAAAAATGTTCTCCGAAAAACATGCTCGGTCGCACCCTAGGCCGAGGGCTGAATTGTGTGTCCGGGGCTTAGAATCTGAAAACGCGACCGCAGGTGGCTTGGTGACATGGTGAAAATAAAAAAAATAGGGCCAATACCCTATGGTAAACTAACACAAGTATGGAAAATCACCATTGTTTAATGGGTAAATCAACCAACTAAATGGCCATGTTCAATAGCTATGTTACAAATTGCCAGAGGGTACATTCCATTAAAATCCCATTAAGATCCCATTCAAGTCCATTAAATCCCATTAAGATCCCATTATGTTAGTTCATCAGAGGGTACATGGCCAATACCCTGCAGCACCCGTGGCAGCTGGCACCGGAAGGCCTTTTGCCATGTGGCATCGCAACTATCCTGGGACGCAGGCGGGTCCTCCGGTTCTCAAAGATTCTAGTGGAATATCATGGAATATCCACATCTCGATGTTTATAGACGATTTTCCCATGAACATGCCACTTACATGCACAGTGTATATAATTGTATATATATAATATATGCATGTATATTTTACGTATAAATAAATATATATATATATATACATAGCATATGTATTTATAATATAGATTTAAATGAATATATACATATATATATACATTATGTCAGGATGATCCATTGCCATGTTTGATTACAAGAGGTAAATTCCTTGTATCTGCTTGGCGCAGTCCGCATGCTTCGTCTTCCCCATGGCGTTGGGTGTCACAGCCCCAGATGGCGGCCCACTCGTGACGACCGCGAATTCCCAAAATGATGGGACTCCCATTCCCTGAGAAGCCCCGGCAAAATCTGGTTTGGAACATGAATTTTTTGTTCCATACTGGGAATGTCATCATCCCAACTGACGAACTCATATTTTTCAAAGGGGTAGGTCAACCACCAACCAGCCATAATATTCTAATTATTTCTAATTAATAGGGTGGTTACCAATTTTAATGAGAATGACTTATAAATATATTTCGAGCCAAAATCGTTGTAATCCCAAGCAATGGTGGGATTTGTTGAACTTCTGCGTTGACTCGCTGCCGCTGCAGCCACCCGGGTGACTTCCTCCTTGCGTCACGCGCGCCACATCCTGACGCAGACTCCGCCATGGGGGAAGGGAAGAAGTTGCTCTACGATGCGGAGACCAAGAAGACGCTTCGACAAGAGCCCCAAGTCATCAGCATTATGGCTTGCATATAAACCATCACCAAATCCCCAGTCATTCATGGTAGGTTGAAGCATTGCTGGGATATAAAATGATATAAACCATCCCCAAATCCCCAGTAATTGGTTGATTATACATTGGGTTTAGCACATTGCTGGTTTTTTTTGGGGGGATGGCCAAGGATGTGCAAGCAAGCCATCACGGGATCAAAAGATTGGAAGGACAAGGAAGAGATGCTGGGCTGCTATCAGGGGTGGGTGTTACATAGCGAACTGGAAAATCAACCCATGTTTCATTGGATTGATTTATGGGAAAATCTAAAGGAAACCATGGTTTGTACCATCAAATATAGATGTGTCCTGTAATTTTCCCCTTAAACCAATCCAATGAATGTTCAATAGGTACAGTAAATGATCGAACTAAATTCGTCATAGTCCTTAGCAATGTCAGTCATACTACCGGAGGGTAGGCTTCCGGATATGTTGAAAATATTTTAAGATGTTCTGATGATATGTTCAGGTTTTAAGAGCAGAAGAGCAACGAAAATTGAAGTAGAACCAAGGATGAATCGTTCAATTCAGACAGACCTTTTTTGGATACACGTGTGTTCATGATTTTTGGGAGGATGTTTTCTCTAAATGAACTCAGCTTCCACTGCTTGGTGGTATTTTTTCTATTGTTGTTGTTTTATGCTGTGAGGTGATTTGCTGAAGGTTCATAACTCGGCTTTATAGTTACTCCACTTCAACCAATGCAGAGGTTCTCAATACATCTCGATATCATCTTGCAGAATTTGACTTTCACATTATACCACATCATGAATAACACATATAACACACTTGGAAAGCGTGTTTCACTCCGGATTCACATTCCAAATGGCACATTTGACTGATGATTTTCCAGCCGAATCATCATGAATCATCCGCCTAGGAAGATTCTGCAAGCCTTCAAGACCTGGGACAAAGATGGGAACGGCTTCATCACCAAAGATGAGCTTGCAGATGTGCAACTTGGCGGCCTAAACGCAGGGGAAAGGGCTTGTTTGGGGTGGAAAAGCCGGAAGCAAATGATATGTTTTCTCTGGGTTTCTCTGAGCAAGATGAATTTGGAGCCAGAAATCCAATATTGGAAGAACAGAAAGGGATCCTTGAGGATTATCCTGCCATAGGCCATGCGCAAAAGGCTGAGTTACAGGGTTGGGGTATGGGTTGAACTGAAGGTGATATGGAATTCACTGGTGTGAGTTTCCGTTCATTCAGTTGCCGATCATATTCCCTGCCATATTGGGGCAGATCTTCCCTCGCATGAGGGCAGGGGAAACCAGCGAAAGCAGCGAACTGGCTTCCAAAAAATAGCTTTTTTTAGAGGGGACATATGGGATACTTGCAATTGTTTCAATTACATTTCAACTATCCCCATGAATTGCTGGCAAATCCCCGATTGATGGTGGTTTATACTGTCAAAATCCGGGGTCCATATTATTGTTAGAACATAATCCATGAGTCCAGCGTGCTAAATCCTCTATGTTTTTCTATGTTCATGTTTCCCATAATTTGTCGTCCCCAAAATTATCTCCATCTCAGTCTCACACTATAGATCTCCCAACATCTTCCAATTCTTCAAATAAATCTCCACAGGATGGGGCCCCCCAATTATAAGTTTGTTTATAAACCATGAAATAATCCCCCCTTAACTAGTTCGTTATATCTACGTAGCATAAACCATTGTTAATTCAGCCAAAACCAGACCAAAACCACTGCGCCGTGGCCGTAGGTTGTCGTCCCTGGGATGTCCCACGAAGTCCGAAGATCTGGACGTGATGCTCAAGGAGGCGGATCTCGATCTCGATGGCCTCCCGGCGACTTCGGTGGGGGCTTTACCGTTTCGGAAAGCATTGGAAAATACTGACTTCAGCAAGAAAAATGGGTTGAAGATGGTTTGATGTTTAATGGGATTTCAATCTAGGATTTTAAGATGGCTAATTGAATTGACTTGAGAACTAGGGTTTCTGGAGGTTGATGTGCGATAAATATGACTATAGAATACTATAGGTTTACATGGGTTTATTTGTAGACCAAATTATAACCGGGGGGCCACTTTGTATCATTGGAAGGGTCCTCTTCCTTGATTTGCCGACGATGATGTGGCTATGTGGCTTATTTTCCCAATAGGAAATCCACCAAACATGGGGACTCCTAATATGTCTCTGATTTTCTTGGGGTTCCTTGCGCTTAAAGTTTTTGAGTGCAGACCATTCTGGTTAATTGATCAGAATCATCAAAGGGGGCTTACCTTCCGGGGACCCAGTCCAGATGACCCCCCCAAGGCAAAATCAATTACGAGGAGTGAGGGTGGGAAGGTAGCCGTGCGGTTGCTGTGGTTGGGTTAGGAGCGGTTCAGAGCCAGGGGTATCCATATTTCCTACAAGCTGGGGCCCCCAAAAAAAAAGCCCGTTAAGAATAATTAATAAGTATCATCAAGCATAGCACATTGTAGAAAAAGTGGGGAGCTAAGGAATTATATGGAATTACCTAGACTGGGAGTTTCCCAGCCACATGATAGTAAGTCCATGTTCAGATTCCTAGAACTCTTGGAAAATGGTTGAACCTATGGACCCATGCAGCCACACCAGGGTCAACCACCAAGGTGGTTGTGGTCGGGCTTAAGTATGTCTTGTGCAACGCATCGGGATGCATCGGGGAATATGGTTGTTAAATATAGATAAACATGGAATTAAATTAACAACCATATTTAACAACCATATTCCCATTAATATGGATTTTCGAATATAGGATTAATTTATTTTTTCTAAAGGTGTTTCCCGATTCGAATCGACCAATTCAATCCTTACACGCAGGAGATGACTCATTGGCTTTGCCGTGCCCCTCATCTCGAACAGCATCTTGGCGCGGCAGCCATGCCGGGTGGTTGCATGCGTTGTGGTTAGCATGCACCAAGGTACCAGGTAACCATTGTAAATTGATACCCAACACATCCCAAAACATCCCAAAAGTATCTCAATATATCCCAAGATCTCATGGAAAATGCCGGTTCTTTCAGCAAATCTTCACAGCATAGCATGCGGAGGTTTCCCCAAAAGAGGTACTGTACCACATGGTACCACCATCCTGATCTGGGAAAATTTGGCTGAACTGCAGGTACTTCCTGCGATCCGTGCACATCTTCAAGCAAAATTTCATCGATTCCAGCACGGCAACTGGGCAGCGCCAAGTTCTCGAATCCAAAAAGTCAACCCGCGATCAATACCACACAAGAACACACAATAACCCTGGCGAATTACGTGTGATTTTCAGACAGTGACTTCATAATACACCATTAAAGCGGTGTTTTTGAGAAATCCGGGGTTGATGTGGTGAGATTCAAGTGGTTCAAATCTTCACTTAAAAATCCGTCAACCCTGAAGAGAACCGGGAAACAACCGGGAAACAGCCCCTCCCGAATGCCGTGGGGTTTTCCCACCCAGGAGATGAATAAGATCATGCTTGAGATGTTGGACTTGAAGAAGCGCCTGGGTATTTTTATGTTTTTTGGGGGCCTTGGGAGATGGTCATCATCACAATTCCCAGTGCATTTGGTGATTATGTGTGCTTTTTTTTTAGGTTGTATCAAGTTGTATCCGCAACTTAGGGGATTTGTAACCATGTTTGATGACCTGACAAAAATGGATTGGTTCAGGGAAAATGCTCAGAAAAAACAGGGTTCCTGTCAATGTTCTCTTCAACCATTTCTAGATGAAGTATGATAGGGGGATTTTTTCTATCGCTGAAGAAAGTCAGATAGGATTGCCAGGTATGTGTTATAGTTATGGTCAAAAACCATGGTGTATATATATACACGTGAAATTTCAGGTGGGTGAATTGGTATATATTAGCCATATATTAGCCATTTTAGCCAGTGATATTTTCCAGGCTTTGAAAGCACCCAGCAGTTCAGCCGTTGGAGATGGGTCATCCCATGGTGGGTATCGGATGGGTATCACAGTCATGATCCTCTAAGATCCTATTTGAATATATCTAATATATCTCTCTACCTACCTATAGTCTATCTATCTAATATATCTATCTATCATGATCTATCATGATCTATCTCTATCTCTCTCTCCATTAATATAGTATTCCATGGCTAGTAGCGTTGATAAACACCCTATGATGAGCATCCACTTACAACGAGTGGTGCCGTGGTGCCGTGGTGCCGTGGTGCCATCCTTTCAGCGCCAGGGAGATGGAAGCCATGCAGGGCGGGGCCGAGGGTGAGCTAGGTGGGAGGATCGATCGATCAGTTCAAGACATGGTGAACATATCTGGAAATCAGGAAACTTGAGAAGCAATTCTGTAGCTTAACCAGTTAGTTGATCAAGTGTGTTATTTTTTTCCGAACACGGCTCACTTGAAGCAGGGTACAGCATTGAAATCATTCCTATACCTTGAACCAGGAGTAGGGTTGAATAATCTGTTGAATCATTGAATCACAGCTGGTTTATGGTTTCAGTTGTTCCCATACAGTACCTGACATAGTGATGTCCCCTCAATTGTTCATATCCTTGGGATGGAGGTGAACACGAACCAGATCATGAAGCAGCAAACATGTGTTTAAACCTGCTCTTACGCATGCTACTTCTGGGGGTAAGTCATGCACATTCATGCGCCAATATCCAAGAACTATGTGAATCGAAATGAGCAGAACAAATAGTCCACCTGAGCTTGACGAAGACATTGGGATCATTGGGGATGGAAGTAACAAATCATCCCTTTCGGTTCCCGTGTTTAGGTCATGTTTTGTTTCTCGCCTCGCCCCGGCAGAATCCCTGGACGGGATGAAGAAAGGCTTGGAAATCATGCGAATCTGGGCCGACGTGGCGCTGATTGCCAGCTTTTGCCCCTGTTTCATGCTTTAGTATGTCGAGCATCATCATTTTCATCTGTATCATCAGACATTGGCACCTTGGGAAATTCTGGGGCAACACTAATGTTTCACGATTTCTCTATTGTTTTTTTCGATCCCCAACTGTTATTTTTCTCCCGATGCCGGTTGTATACCCAACGTCGCTCAGGAAAGGTCGCGGAGAGATTCCAGGAAGTCGTGAAAAAAAACCAGACGCGGATGAATGACGAGCTTCCCCCGGTGATTTTACAGAGCTTCAAGTACCATGACAAGGTGGACTTCTCCGGGTTTACCGTGGTGAGTTCAACGAAGTTTCAGAAAGGTACTGTAGTAAATGAATCCAATATCACATAATATCACCGGTTGTGTATGGAAGGGATATAAACCTCTTACCAAGTGGGATGCATGATATCCAAGTTTGGGTCAAAAAAAGAACGAACAGGCACCGAGGTTTTCAGATTATATAAAGCAGCTCGTTTGTTCATCCGAAAGAGTGATGGGAAGAACAATAGGTGTGTTGACGGTTTTAACATATCTGACCTGCCCGTCCCCACACCGGCAATCCCATAGCCCTAATATTTAATATATTTAATACACCGCCTTTTTTGATGGAACCTAAAGAGGATGTATTAGATCCAATTCCAAACAAGGTGCATTGTTTTGAGGGTCATTTAATATTAGTGAGAGGGTAGTTTGTATGGTGAAGAAACCATTAGAATGTTCTCAAACATTGAGAGGTGCGGCCATGGGTTGGATGGATGTGTCTAGATTCCCCAATCATGCCAATATATACCAACTATGGGATCACTTTCATGTCAATGCTAGCAATGTTTCTCCCCTATTTTGAAGGAGAATCAGCATGAGGTGCCATGATCAATACATTACCCATATGGAGATTTCCTGAAATCGGGGTACCCCTAAATCATGAATTTGAATAGGATTTTCCATCATAAACCATCCATTTAGGGGTACTACCATTTAGGGAGACCCCCATATTATCCCATAGTGGAGCATGGTCATAGCCCCATTGCGATTTCTACGCCCAACATGAGGAATCCAATGATGGTGGTATGACCATGGACCCAATTCTATTCTAGATGACAGTATATCCGATTATATCCTGTTATATTCCCATGGGTTTTTCCTTTAAATTCTAAAGGCAACATTCCAATAATCAGAAAATCTTTGCATACCAAATTTTGATCGTACTCCAGACCGGGTTTTGGTATGTTACTTTATTTCAGCTCAATCTGAAGGAAATGGTTTGTGGTTAAATCACTAATCACCCATTACTCCAATATAACTTGACTATAGGTAGCACATGTCAAGATTGCCATCACCCCACCAGGACGGAAGTGGAACATTGACCTACGATGAGAGTGTCATGGCATACCACGGCCACAGGAAATCCCCATGGTCAGCAGGGATGTTAAACTTTGGCGGGGCCCCTTTTTAGGGGGTGATCCCAGCAATTCGTTTATTGAACGAACCAAAGTCTAGTACTTGTCACGGGAGGAATTAGTTCTCCCAGATATTGGAGGAGTTTCTGTCTTGTGACAAACTTGTATATCACCATAAAAGATCATAAAAGGATATACATGGGTGGTATAGACTATTCCCCAGTCATGGGTGGTTTATGGCATGGTTTTCACCACAAAAAACAGGGAAAACTACGTGGCGGAGACATCGGAGCACCACGCTTCAGAAATCTCTGGTGTTCAACTGGGATAATCCCCATCATCCCAGTTCGTTTAGATAAACCAAGGTGGTGCCCCTAGCAGTGTTATGTTTGTGAACTATGTATATATTTTTTAGTTATTTATACACATAATAATAACAATAATAAAAACAATAATAATAATAGTAATCATAATGTATCTATATATATATATCAGAACAATAGTAATAATAGTATATATATATATATGCATCATAACCCATAGAATGCAGCTAGTTAGACCAACTTAGCTATCTAGGAGGCCCCACCTTGTAATCAGGAATTTCGAATTTTCAGACAGGATTAGATTTGGTATGTGGTGAATAAATTCTGAACTGTGCATTAGCAAGTTAAGTTGCTTCCTTAGGCCTTTCCATGTTTTCCAAAACCAAAAGAGAGTCGACTTGCCGTGATTTGAACAGCGCCCCATGCTCTTCACCTGGTCTCCATGACAATGTGGCAAACCCAGAACCCCTGTGCAATGTACGCAACTTTGCCCAAAAGGGGGGAAGTTAATAACCATTTTCAAACAAATGGAATAGTTCCATCTCAGTCTTGACCTTTCTGTTTGTTGGGGACCTCTACGCGCCGTACCAGTGTTTCAAAAGAGTTAATTGCTGAACCACACATGAACTAATGAACTATAAGATGCTTGCTTCCCAGGATTGGTTTCGGTGAAAAACAGTAAACCATAGTGCTTTTCTGGAGGAACAACTGTGGTTTCCTGATGTTATCTGTCAATTTTCCCGGATAAGGAAGCAACCTCAATGGCGAGACTTTTGCTGAATTTCTTGTTTTTCAACAAACATAAAACCACTTAAAACATATGAAAACCAGTTAAAGCCAATTACTGTAAATCCCATTGAAACCAATTAAAGCATATTAAAGCCAATCAGAACCACTTCTGTCAACAGGGCCCCATGTTCTTGTCCCCTCCAAGGCATCATTTTTTTCTCGAACTTCATGGCACTCTGGGAGCCCTTTGCAGAGGCTTGATCCAGCCTCCAGCCTCAAGGAATCTGAATTGATCCAGCCGTGGGGTGATCAATATATCTGAAATATTGATTAAACAGATTGTATATGGTAAACATAGTATTAAACATATTGTATATTGATATAATATTGATCAATATCTAATATCAACAGAATATACCTGATCAATATAGGAATAGTCTGCACTAAAAAAGGATCTTGTTTGGTCATGTTAGTCGAAATTCCAAGTCTTGTATATTTATTGAAGATTAAGTATATTCCAAAACTCATGTGTTTTGTGGATATGTATTTACGTATTTGATCTAATGCTATCCATGGATCTTGAATGGTAAATCATTACATTCATGAATTTTGAACTATACCTCTCATGTCAATATCAAGAAGCAACTGACGCAGATACCCGAGTTTAGTCTTGGATGTGTTTATCTTGAAGAGGATCATTATGGATCATTATTGTGTGGGGGAAATTGTTGCTAGTGGCGAGGGATTGCCAACGCTAGTGGGGACGTGATTGATTAAAGTAGTGACTAGTGACATACATCCGATGTTCCCATCCGATGTTCCCAGCGGTCATTCGTTTGGGATGTTTGAAGTCACCAGCATGGTACGAGGCTTCCATCATTTCCATTTCTTGAAGTTTGTCCGCGGGCAGTTCCAGGCTACCACCATCTCACTAGCAATGTCTAATGATCAATGACAAGGACAGGTTGGACCTGCAGTTGGCAAAGCTCTCCGGTTCACTGCTTCGGAGAATCTCAAAGATGCTGCAGGGACCTGTCCTCCCTTTCGATGTCACCCTTTTCCGGGTCTTTTTACCCTTTGGTAAACCAACAGTTTGCTATGGAAAATCACCATCTTTAGGTTCGGTAAATCAAGGAGCTAAATGGCGATTTTCCAGTTCGCAAACTGTAACAAATTACCAGAGACAAAATCCCATGTCCATTTCCCATTTCTTAATATGATCTCAAGATCACCCCATGTCCAAACCCTCCCATTGGTGATTTGAATCTTTCCATTGAAGTTCGGCAGACGATGTCTGAGCTCAACGCCATCTTCAAGGAGAGCGAAGTCACGAAGTCGCTGGGGGCCGACTTGGGCGGGCATCTCAAATTCGAAGTTTCTGGTGGCTGGATTTGTCCAAGGCGTTGGGTGATGATTTATGCAATTTGATTTTATTATATTATAATATATACATATATATATATTATTGTATATAATTTAATATATTATAGAGAAATATAGGATGATATAGGTTTATCATATGTTATTAAACAGATAGTTTATTATTGTTTATCCCACAAAATTGCCGAGATTTTTGGCCTCAACACACGGAGAACATAGGATTTGTGTCACAACCAGGTCCTTCAACAAAACAGCACCTGCAATTATAAACCATATAGCGCATTATAAAACCATGCATACAGATATGTAAAGCACTATGAAACTCCACGCCGCCCGAAAGAAAACTCGAATAGATATGAAAAGATAGACAAGGAGTTAACTTACCACCATTCTTAGTAGGATTTTACATTTCTATCTCTATTGGGGTTGCTAGCCATCTTCAATACAGAACGCTTCGGCTGCCCAAGATCTACCACTTTGATCTACCTCAGCCCTCCGGACTTTTTTCTCCAGGAGATGGACTGTGATTTGAACGACATGGGGGACGACACGACCAAAGAAAAACTGGAGGAAGACATGAAAACGAGAGATGAAAAGGCACGAAACTGAAAATCAGAGGATTTTTTCTTTGCGATTTTGGGAATTGCCATTTGACAGAGATTCCAATAAGTTAATGGATTGAATGGATTGCCTTTCTTTCCATTGTGATTTAATAGTTTGGAAATGTAAACGCCTTCTTGCGACAGTTGGCTATGATCAAACGATGTCTCCATTATCTCCCATTCTTGCAGCATTACTGTTTAAATTTCCATTATATCGTCATCATTTTCTCATCATTTTCCTATGGATAGTTAGCCATTTTCTCACTGACCTATCTGTACCTGTTTTTTTTTCCCGCTTGTGGTCAAGAAATCGCCACTTCGCAGGTGAAGTTGGTGACCCCAGACAAGCTGCATGAAACTTGGACGACGTCCAGGGTGAGTTTGGTGGAGGGCGGCGCTAGAAACATCCAACGGATGTTCCATCACATTTCAAGCAGGTGTATGACATCTGGATTGTAAAAATAGTGTGAAACTATTGTTACTTGTGAGCATGGGTTATTCCAAGATCTTTCATCAACCAGCACTTTGACTTTGACATTGAGTTTCAGTGGAACTTGGAAAGGCAAGGGTTGAGGATAGGATATGCCAATGATGTGAACCACTTGAAAAATAAAGAATGAGCAGCCAGTCTGGCAGGGGGATCGTTGTTTCATTTCATCATGATGCACCCATGACCCCCCTGCTCTTCGACTTCTGGAAAACTACTTACTGTAGTTACTGTAGCCTATAATTCTATAGTCATCCAGCCAACTTGAGGGCATTCTGCCGCTGGATTCCTTAGAACCAGGAAGTCTTCAAGCAGAAATATGCCATCCTGAAGGAGCCCGCCACGATGGATGCCGTATGTGGAGCCGGGGGTTTACAAAGGGGGGATGTTTTTGAGAAGTAGGCAAGTATAACATCCATAAAATGTTCATAACATCCATAAAATGAAGTCTATAAGTTGGCTTATAACCCCTAAAACCATGGTATACTATGGTAGACTATGGTATACTATGGTTATATATCCACTTGCATGGTGTGTACGCAGTCCTAAGTCTCCAAGCAGCGCGCCAAGTGCGCCAAGCAGCGAGGAAGAGCGAGCCAAGAATATCGATGAATATCACGTGAAGGCCTGGCCGAAGTGGCCAAAATGCCATACTTCGATAGTCTGATCATAGATGTATGAACTATGATCTGGGTAAATAAGGGAAATCATCCCCAAATGGCCTTAATTATCCTGAAAATTCAGGATAGTGGAATATTATTTCATTCTCTTTCATTTACCAGTAAGAGTATTATGAACTCCGAAAAATGAACACACCTAAATTTCAACGGGTAACACAGCTGCAGGTCCCCTCGATTGATCCGCATCGCGTGACATCCCATCCCCGTATGAAACCCCAGAAAACCACGGTTTCAATAAGTGCTGAAACCACGTATTTGGATATATTTGGCACGAATGGGGGTGTTTGATTTGGATTTATATCCCAACCTATCCGACTGAATCCTATTCAGTCCATGAAATCACATCAGGCCCCATGAACTTCATCTTAAATTCCCATGAAACAATGCCACTGAAAATCCTATGAATCCCCACTGGAGTCCATTAAATCCCACTGAACATCCCGTGAAATCCCATTAAATCCGATTGAACATCCCATGAAGTCTCCATTTTCAACCCAAAATCAACTCCCAGACTCCAGGCCTTCGAGGTCCTCAGTGCGATCTTCAGCTGGCGATGTGGGATAATTGAAGTGTATATTTGATATGTGGGATATATGAATATATATATATATATATATGTGTGTGTGAAGATATGTGTGAATCTCCATCCGATTAGTTGTAAGTATATATATATATGCGAATAGATCGCATATCGTATATATATATATATATCTATATATATATATATATGTGTGTGTTGATAAATATACATACATACATACATACATACATACATACATATATACATACATACATACATATATATATATATATATATATACAAAATGTTAGTGTTGCTTTTTATTTTGGATGGATTTGATGTATAATTGACAGAAGCAGTCAGGACTTTAGGACGCGTTGGGGTGCAACAGAACAGCCGCGATGAGTGGAATTGGCATTAAAACTGGAGAATTGGAGAGATGTATATATACTATTATACTACAACTATTTATCATACACACACACATATATATATATATATACATACATGTATTATAGGCAATCTATAGGTTTGTGCCAAAATGGGTTATCTCCAAGTTTGCTAGTTTATACCCCCAAAATGGGGGCATACCCCCGCATTGAATGGCAGTTGTGTTGGGGAACATGGCGATTTCACGGCCAGGTTCCCTCATCTAGGCCATACAAATCATACCAAGGTGTTAACGGAAAAATTGAGGAGGGTGCATTGAAGGAGGCTTTGCTACATGGAACCGATGCTTGGCTTTTAGCCGGGGGCGGCTTGAGCCGGCTCAAGCTGGCTGAACAATAATCCAGAAATATATGTTGTAGTGAAACCTGAAATAAAATGGATTGCCAAGGACCTACGACGCTATGAGTTAAATTTCCCAACCACTTGATAGCATTTCACATGTATAGATCATACTCGTCATGTAAAATTTTAGGAGGAAATTGGCTTGCGGAAGGTGCTCCGCCATGTTTCGTGAATTCCGGCGATGTGAGGCCGATAGTTGGGGGTCCTAGGCCAATCTGCAAGCCATGCTGCCATCGACAGGAAACTACGATTTGTGCTTCTGAACTGCTTGGCTTAGAAACCCCAGGCATCACCTGGATGTATTGGCAAACATCATAGATTTTCAAACCAGTACTGTAGCTAAACATCAAGGCTCCATGTGAGTTCACCCGTGATAATTCGGATTCACATCTGAACTTCAATTCGTGGATATGCCCCAGTTCCAACATCCGGGTGATCCTTTCCCAAGGACAAGAACAGCGAGTTTCTTCGTGCCATGAATTTGGAGGTTTCCGAGGCTCAGACTCTGACCTTGGCAATTTCGGATGGAACTGGTAACAGTTATGGTCCAGGTATAGATGGCCAAAAAGTCTGGGTCAACCGACTGCTTACAGCAGTTTAGTTCTTTATTGTGGTTGCTGTAAAGAAAGACGTGAATATCTGAATATCATTGAATATCTACGTCCTGGAAATGATTTGGTTGGAATTATCTTTTCCTTAATAAATCAAAGTGATTTTCCATATTCGATTACCAGATGTAACCAGATGGTTCACCAGCAATGTGTAGTCACAGGAGGTCCAAATGTGTCCTCCACACATTTGACGATTTTCCGGAATCTGTACTGTTACTTATATATACAGTACCCTCTGGTTATTTAACATAGCCATGGAAAATGGCCAATTTATAGATGATTTTCCCATGAATACCTTCATTTATAATTAAGGGATTTTCCATGGCTATGTTAAACAACCAGATGGTATATATAATTAATAATAATTATATATATATATATATTCATTGCTGGTATCGAAGACCTTCGACATTTGTAGCCCTCGACTTTGGATTCTGTTCCAAGTCTCATTCGTTTTTTTGTCTATACGGGTCAATTTAAAGGAAACCTCGATATTTCAGGGTCACAAAGATGAAAAGAACATGGTTTTCTTGTTGTTTTTTTCAATGGACTAACATGGTTTTCTATATTAACATGAAACCTCTATATTTCTGCTGGTTAGTTCTTCCCTTTTTCCCCATCCCATTTTGCATTGCGCATTCGTGGTCGGCTCACCGAGAAAGGTGATGAAGGAAACCACTGAGAAATGCAAGGAGTTCGAATCCCAAAAGGCGGGCTTTTTGGGTGTTGTTTGTATCGTTTTCAGAGTAAAGAAAGATGGCAATTTTTGCCGAATCCCCCATTTATTACTGTTTAAACGACAAAAAAAACACATTTATAAGAACAGAACATACAACATTCATTGAATGTAGCACAATGTAGCACGTCAAATCCACCCATTTATTGATGATGTATTCATTGAACAGGACATGGACATGGCTGTTTTGAAGTGCTACGCCAATTTCAGGATGAACTGGAGGAGGCCATGCAGATGATGGAATCTTGGGATGTCGGTGGAATTCCTATGTGTGGTTACTTTTTCTGATAGAAAATCTCTACATTTTTGTATCTGTTTTTTTCTGGTGGAACGTATCTATTGTTTGTCTCTTTTTGTCTTGGAATTCCTATATGGTGTATCTTTTTGTGGTGATGTTCCTACTTTGTTGTACCTTTTTTTTGTGGTGATTGTCCTGCCTCGTGGTCCAAGATTTACCGTTGTGAAAATCCCACTAAAAATCCCATTGAAATCCATTGAAATTCATTGAAATTCATGGAATTTCAACAACAAAAGCCTCCTTTTCCGGTCAAATCCTTGGAGTTTCATGGTGGATCTTAGGAAAGCATGATGGGCGCCATGGCAGCCTTGGGAGCCATGGGAGCTGCGTTGGAAGGAGCCATGGCATGCCTTGGACATGGCGGCCATGGTTTTGTTGTGGGAAATGCAATCGTAACCTGAGGCCTTTCGAGAGGGGCTTGTTTCCAGCGCCAGAAATTGGACTATTTGTATCTATTATTCATGTTCCTGTATCCTTTGGAAAATGATATTTATCTAATATGTTTAAAAGGAGGAGGCCTGACCCAGAGAAAAAAAACAATTCAGCTGCAACATGAACTCCAACAGAACAATGGTAGTCATTAGGTTCAAAACGTGGCAAATTCCAAGAATTCAACCCACCTTAGAAGAGAAAGCAGGATATACTGTATCTACACTTTGAAGCATATGTGCAGTAGAATATGTATGTGACATAAAATGCAAAATTGCAGTGGGTAAGTTTAGGTCATGCAGTTCTCATAAACAATAGGTATCCTTCTTTTTGTGTGGCATGATCAAGAAAATTGAACATACATTGTTGTGAAGCCTTCGGATACACACTGTAATGTTTCCATATGATTGTGGTACAGTACCACATTCTTTTGAAAGAAATGAGTCACCTTTGAAACACAACCTTAGTTCATCTACAAAGCCTATCTCAGTTAGAAAAGTTAGGACGCCCCCTGGGGTTTTCAACAGGTTGTGGATATGTTTAACAGATTGGTTACCCTTGATGCAGTGCCATCAGTATATTCAAGCAAACGCCCAACCTGACGCTAATATCTTGTGTGTAGCCAGGTGGTATCGCACAAATACCCTGCCATGGTGCAATATGTCACAGTTGAAATTATATATTCTAATTGATTGTGCAAGAACATGTAATGTTAAATGAACTAGACTTGTAGTTTATGAGCTTGAGTTGCACAGCACAGCAATTACCGAAAGAGGAATATGTAAGCTACCCCATCTATTAAGTCTTCCACCTGTGTTACATTTCCAGCAGGTAATGCTTTGAAGAGATGTTATTCTTCAAGGAAAAGCAGTTTTCCTCACAAATATGCAGCACCCCCTTCTTTCAAAAAAAACACTAACAAGCTGATGATTGCTATGAGCTAGCGCAGGACATTTTAGGAAAAACAATCCCTTTGAAGGTTGTTTCAAAACATGCTAGTTCTCTACAATATGCACCGTGTTTTAAGTACTGTATTTCTGTTTGCCTTTTTTATGATGGATCTAGTTCCTCAAACAGATACAGGTTCCTTTCAGAAGAATACTTGGCTTAAAGCTGCAGTCATTTGTTTAAACAACAGAAACAATATTGTTGCAGAAGATGACGGGCATATTGTTGCACACCATGAACAATGTCTACTAAAGAAGTAACAATCCCATCAAAGCTCCGTTATTATCTATGTTTGAAGGTAACACCATTTCTTTCAAAGACAATAATGTCACACTCCTTTCAAAAAAACTAGCTATCCTGTATTTGGCAAGTAGCACCATTTCTTTGAAACAGATTAATCCTTGTCCTTTCGAAAATGCATCTCATTCATTTGAAGGAAAGGCTTCACTCACCAAAAAGAACATTGTCTCAGTTGCCCTTTGTGTTTGAAAGTAACACATTTTTCCGGAAAAGAATGGCTCCTTTTAAAGAAACCCAACCGCCTTCTATTTGGAAAGGAACACCAGTGACTGGAAGGACATTGTTCACTCACAAATTTGCACATCCCCAAAGGCTTCATCCCTTAAAGGAAAAAATGCACATCCCCAAGGAATACTGCGCATTGTTATCATACACACATTTTTTTCAATGGTTTGTAAAGGATACATTTGACACATACATGATGCCTTAGAAACAAGATTAATCAGATGTGGCTTGGATTGTTCTGGATTAATCCTAAGGATCAAAACATCGGAAAAAAATGCAATGTTTCCCCGACTAGTCTGAACATGGCTAGATCCAAGTAGTTCCCAAAACATTGCTTTTTTTGTAGTTCAAGGGCGCCTTATTTACAACCCACACCTCTTAAATAGGTTTGTTGACAGCGCGAAACAACAACTTTACCCCCAAAAAGACAAGACATAGTTGCGGCGCTGGCAACAAAGCTTTCTGTTTTTGTTTACACCTAAAAAAAGGTCAGTGCCTCCATTCAGCCTGAACGATTCCCTGATGAAGTCAGGAATGGGAGGAGGAATTCCAGGAGGAAAAGAAGGAGATCTCGGTGAGCTTGAGATGGGCGAGTGCAACATGCAATAAGCTCAAACACCGGCCGGTGAATGGTAGGTCTCTAGGACCCTAGGGGCCCTAGCTGGATAATATATATATATAATTATATATATATATTATATTATATATATAATATACATATATAATATATGATGATATGTGTGTGTGTGTATTTGTGGATCCAAGGCCGTTTTTAGTGCAAGAAAAGCTGATAATTCTGGGAGAAAAACAGATATCGAAGTTTAGCTAGGTAAGAGGTTGATGTTCTTCAGACCCATCAGCCCAGTATGCAAAACCGCACCTTGCCACGTCAAAGACGTGCCAGGTTTTCCTTGCCCCTCGTCGACAGCAAAACATCCTGTAAGTTGGTGGACACCTCTACCTTTGGAGGTAAAAAGCACCGATTTTCCTGTAGATTTCCTTCCAACCAATCCCTGAAAGATCACCTTTTTCGGCCATGACATGGACCATACTTCTAAAGCGCTGCTGGTGATGTTGATTATACAAAATACGTGTAAAAAATGCCATTTGGATACCTGGTAAGTTAACATATCTATGCTACAGATGGCCCATTTAGTTCGATGATTTATATATAAAGATGGTGGTTCCATATATGGTAAAATACCCCTCGGTTTCATTTATGTTCAATTACCGGAGGGTAATTTGCAAAAATACGCACAACGGTACAAAAATGATCCTTTGCAATACACAGGTGCTGCTGACACAGGGTGTTGAAAACTTCGTGACCCAAAGCAACTTTGATCCAAAGCAGATCACTTGTTGCCTGAACTCTTGTTGAACTCATCTACGGATCTATGTTTGATTTTCTCTGTTCGAAACACTAACGAAAGAAAGAGTAATATGCACTACCCTCTGGGCCGGGAATGTGACAAGATGTGACTAGCTATCCGGAAAACACAATTCCAATGAGCAAATCATCTCCACAGTCTAATTCTCTGATCTGAGTTCTGGGTGTTTCAAGCCCATTTCCTGCGGCGCCCCTGTGCTGTTGGCACGTGCCACGCGAGCCCCATTTCAGCGTGCTTCTCAAAGAGAATCTCCCGCACCGGAAAGAAGATCTGTTGGAGGAAATTGGGATTGGCCAAGGTTCGCCCTTTGTACTCCCGAAACGAATGGGTCAAAATTATTGGTGAATCTTTTATATTGCGTCAATCAAGTTAAATCTGACATCTGAGTTGTTCAAAACTGGTGAAGATGTGAATTGAAACTGGAGAAGATGTGCTCTACTTTTGATAATTGTGATGGATGGGCAAGCCCAAAGATGCTCCGATTCTCCCTTTTAGTTTGTTCAATGGATGAGTACATGGCTCGAAAGGGGACAGGGGATTGTTGCTTTTTATCGTCACTTAACCAGGCGTGGGCCTTGTGGCTGTCAAAAGCAATGGTCTCCAGTGGAATCCCTTCCGTCGGGATGAGGTCTGGGCCTCCTCTACGACCATCTATTTGGGCTACACATCCTGCAAAAAGGCGCCCTTCAGCCTGAAGAGACGTGTTTGATGTGATGCCAATGGACTTGGCCTTTTTTATGTGGATTATGATGATTGATGGACTTGGGAGATGCACCATTTTCAGCTACTCAGTTTGCATTATATAGTGACAAGCATGTCCCACCGCTTTCTTGGTGCGTTGTTTCGAAACAGGCTCTACACCTGCGATCCCCGGCCAAGCCCAACATTCGCCCCGCCTTTCTGTCGGGATGCGTCTTGGATGGGCATTTTTTTGGCTCTTGTGGGTTCCATGCTGATGACCAAATTGGAGCATTTACTGCAGATTTGTGGGTTTTTGTTGGTTGAATGCCCGTTCTTTCGTTGCCATCGTTGAATCCTCGTGTTGGCTATACTTATTGTAGAAGTTGTCCATTGTACCTTTTTTTCTCAATACTGCACCATACTGCGCCCAATTTTACCATGTACCACCAGCAGTTGGTTTGTAACACCCATTTACTAGTTCGATATAGTGGACCATGAACCATACGTAGTCTAGTTCTGTTTACCAATTTAGATATCTAAACCCTATATTCCCATTAAATCACCATTCTTGCGTGAGTAAATAGCTATGACTGAGCCTCATCTTATCCCACCGATGTCATGGGGCCCCTGGAGGTCTCTGGGCATTGGGCTTCGCGTGTTTTGCCAAATCGTTGGGGAAGCTCAGCACGAGGATGGCTACGAGGATGGCAGCCACAGCTCCCTAAAAATCCATCGCGCCACAAGATCTGAAAATAAATCAAGGCGATTGGGAAAAGTCCCAAAGTATTGCCAAACATGTTTTGGAATGTGGGTTGTCAAATGTTATCAATATGAACTCAACATTACCCCCCCCTTTCCATCCATTTGGACACCCCCACACTCATGTGTCCCATGAACAGTGAGGCTCATGAAGCGCCGTGACTAAGGCTGGATGATATCGGCTACACGGCCACCTATGTGTTGAGCGTCATCGGTCAACGACCTAGTGCTGAAGGAAGTTTATTCTGGGCATCCCCACATCCACGGGATCGTGGTGACTGGAACATTGGTTTAATCTGGAATAATGATGGTTAATGATGGTTAATAATGGTTAATAATCATATCTGGTTGGTGGTTTGGAACATGACCTTTATGTTTCCATATATTGGGAATGTCATCATCCCAACTGACGAACTGATATTTTTTTTTCAGAGGGGTAGGGCTCAACCACCAACCAGATATTCTCTAGCAAATCTGGGTGAATCAGTGGATGGTTACCATATCCCCATGGCAAATGATGACATTTTGCTGGGTGAATCCCGCCTTTTTCAAGGCCCGGTGTTAGTATCGTCCTTGGTGTCCGTCTTCATCTTCAAAGAGGTTGAGGCTCCAGGGAACGCCTGGAGTCTATGGCTTAAAACAGAAAGGGCCATCATGACCATGTGGGAAATTAACCTGTGCTTAGTAATGGTTAGTAATGATTAATAATAGTTTGTAACGGTTAGTAATGGTTAATATATAATGATTATAATTGTTAGTAATGGTTGGCAATGCGTAATATTGAACATTTACCATCTGGTAAATTAACAGTTGGACCCTGAAAGTAACCAATGTTTAGTGGTTTCCTAATTTTCCGACCCCGATGACTGCCAGGGTCAAATTGTTCATTTATACTGGAGGAGAAATCTTTTATATCTTTTTGGGTAGCTTGTTTGGTATATAGTATAGATCTAGATATAGTAATTTTACATGCTACTTATGTTGTTAGTATGATAATATTGTACTACTATGTTTCATAATATATGTTTGTGAAATATTATAAATATATTGTTAGTATAATAATATGTTACTTCACTACTAAATCTGTTTGTTTGTGAAGGGGATTCTTTCTCTCTCCGGCGCAAAAAATCTGGGCGTAGCCTGTGGGATCCTGTGGGATCCTGGTGTGGATCCCAGCACGCGCCACCAGGACGTATCGCAGCTACGCTGGTTTGCGGTTTCCTGTGTGGTGTGGATCCTGGGCAAACAGACGAGTGAAGGTAGGGAAAGATCCATGGATGTATGTATAGATAGACAGACAGACAGATAGACAGAGATAGATAGATATAGTATATATATAGTATGTATAGTGTATATATGTATATATACATTTACTACATATATATATGTACACTATACATATATATATATGTTTACATATGTATATATATATATATATTATATGCATCGTATATATCTATCTAGTATAGATATAGTAATTTTACATACTAAAATATTTACATATACAGATACATATACATATATACATAAATAGATATGTTCCTGCCGGACTGGGGGATATATGCAGGGCCAGACTGAGGAACAGGAATCAAGGCATTGAAAGGATGAGACTGCCAGGATTGAACCACATCATAGATTGGGAAATTGTAATAGGTTGGTAATTTCTAATTACACATTCTTCAACTCTTGGAATTTGTAGATTGGTTACTGAAAAAAAACACAAGATCTATCCACCGAAAAGTTGAGAGCGATGAGCCGAGCCACGGCTTAGGTCCAAGCGTTGGGAATGTCATGCATCATCATGGGGAATTGAGCGGACCCTTCGGCTGCCGGCCGTCGCTGGTGGCAAAGGCAGCCCTTGCTGGTAATTCGTGTCTAGTAACCTCCAAAGAGATAAACAATTTTGGATAGCACTAATTTAGTTTGTCGTAGAATGATACACTAGAAATTACTTTTCTATGCTTTTTAGTGTATCACATTTTGTAAGTATAGGATTTGACGTTTCTCAACTTGGGGGGTTGCCATATATCGACACAGGCCATCCACCAGTGTGGCCACGGTGGGCTCATGGGACTTATATCCAGCTACAATCGGCCAGTCATCGGTGGCACAGTGGCCTTTTTAAATATGGTATAGCCCATTTTTGGACACACCCACCATATATAATCATGTAATTAATATTAAATGTCCACATATATATGAATTGATGGTTTAAACAAACATCTACATACACAGATACACATGCGTACACATATACACATACATTTAATTTACATATAAATTTACACATACATATACATATATCATATACATATAGATTTAGACACGCACATATATGTGTATATATATATATATATATGCATATACATTTACATATACATTTACATATACATGTACATATACATCCCGGCGGAAGGGAAACCGCGCGAGCGTTTTGATTGGTTGCTTCCAGGAGAGTCACAATCACCTGTAATTTACAATATAAAATGCTCTTCCGCTCAGTTTGGATAACTGAATTTGGGTTTAAAAAAGTGGATGCAAAACTCATTGATTTTTAACAAATCCAGGTAAACATCATGTGCATCAGACGTAGTAAACGATCCCAGGGATCTCAGCAGCGTAGCAACATGTCACGTAGTAAACGATCCCTGAGATCTCAGCAGCGTAGCAACATGTAACGTAGTAAACGATCCCAGAGATCTCAGCAGCGTAGCAACATGTAACGTAGTAAACGATCCCACAGATCTCAGCAGCGTAGCAACCTGTAACGTAGTAAAAGATCCCAGAGATCTCAGCAGCGTAGCAACCTGTAACGTAGTAAAAGATCCCAGAGACCTCA